ATTACAGAAATAAATATAAATCTTAGAAACATAAATTTTTAAGAAAAAATTATCCTACAATGTAAAAAAAAATACTTCTTTCTATCAAGAGAAAACACCATGACTCAAAAAAAAAAAAAAAGAAAGTAATAATAACAGCTGACATTTAGTATGGGCTTATTGTGTTGCAGGATGGTAAAGAATCTACCTACAATGCAGGAGTATCAGGTTTGATCCCTAGGTAGAGAAGATCTCCTAGAGAAGGGAATGGCTACCTACTCCAGTATTCTTACCTGGACAATTCCATGGATAGAGTAGTCTGGTGGGCTACAGTCCATGGGATCGCAAAAAGCCAAACACGACTGAGTGACTAAGCACAGCACACATTGTGTGGCAGACACTCTTCATAAATGCTATGAATGAATTACTTTAAATCTCACAGCATCTCTATGAGATTGGTGCGATTATTACACCACGTAACAAATCAGAACTGAGGAAATGAAAGGATGAGAAAATGTCCTTAGTCCTTGAGACTATCAAAATTTTAATCCAGTTAGACTTATTGCAAAACATGCTCTTAATCACTATAGCCTCTCAAAGTAAAAATACAAAAATTATATGGTACAAAAAAAACAGAAATAATGATACTAACTTCAGAAACCTGATTTTGAAGGATAAAGTGCTACATGGGCCTACAGGTAAATCCATAACAATGAAGTTGTAACTATAATAAATATATTGAGAAAATAATGAATATACAAAATAAATACAAGTGATTATATAAGAAGAAATTATTTTAAAATAATGTGATCTTTATTGTTTTTATATATTTTTAATTATTTAAATTTGTAGTGGCCCAATACACAGCCAAATATATAAACATTCTAATGGTAAATAAAAAGATGCATTTTCTTGTATCAGGCAGCAGGGTTTCATATAGATCTATTAGACCGACTTTATTCATTTTATTTGGATTCTCTCCATCCTTGGTAAATTTTGTCAATTGTGTTTCTAAATTTTTAGTTTTTTGCTTATTCCATTTTTGTTTATATATTTTAATGCTGTGTTATTTTTTATACAATATCATAACCATTAGAGATTCATTTTGAATTTCCTTTTAATGATATATTTCTCCTGTGTTATTTAACATGTGCGTGTAGATTCAATTCTGGTTGACATCAATATTATAACTACAACTTTCTTCATGTTAAATCCTATCCTTTTACTTTCATCTTTTTAAGTCAATGTTTTAGATCCCTTTTGTAACTTGGATTTAGGATTCTTTTCATATATTATCTCCTCAGAAGGGTCTTAATTAACAGTCATCTATCTTCTCAACTGGCTCTATATTCTTTGACAGCACATATCACCATCTGAAGTTATATTATATATTGATTTATTTACTTGTTTATTTTAATCTCATTCAGTAGAATACGAGCCCCAGACTTTTATCTGTACTATTCACTACTGTATCCCTGATGCTTCAAACACTCTTCTGTTGATTTTAATAAATGAATTTATATCATCAAAATTTGCTGATATGAAATTATCTTTTCTTAATTCTAATTCTTTATGTTATTATTGTTCTTCATACTTTAGTTTTTTAGCTTTTGCTATATCATTTATGATTTGTTTTAAATATGTGTTTATATTCCTTATGGTAATGAAGGATGTAATATTTTGTACCTGTATTTTCTTCCTAGAATTTTTCATCCAATTCCATAACTTTAAACACCATTTACACACCAACAACTACAAACACTCATCCGCAGGCCCAAACTTTCCTCAGAACACCTGACTGCTTATTGCTTACACTGTATTTCCATGTCCGCTGTCACAGACTTGTTCTTCCTCTCAAAAATACACCTTCAATGAAATCACTTCTCACTATCTCTACCACCAATACAGTTCTGATACATCTTTTGCATGGATGTATTTATAAATCCTTCAAATATCACCTCATACCATTTCCTAGTCACAGGGCCTCTTGCAGAGTCTCATTCAGGACATTTTAGTTCATGCCTCAGAGTATTTGCATGTGCTTTTACATCTGGGTGGAAATCTGTGAGTATCATATGGTAGCACTTTAAAAATATTGCTGAATAAATGAATTATTATAGTTAAAATTTTATATTTTATTTGAACTTCTATCTCTAAATTTAGGTATCTATTGGATTTTTGCTATAAAAAAATGAAAACAATAACATAATCACAACTCTTAAACTTTTGTAACTTATCTCCCCATTTTTGTTTCTTTACAGTACTGAATGTATATTTTCAAGTATATAATACTAATACTTTGTTCTGGTGCCATGATGTTACAGTTTTTCAGTTTGGGGTGGTTGGCCAAGGCCCTATTAGCCCACAGCTGTGGAGACAGACTTATATTTTCTTTGTGCCGTTTCCCAAATGGCTAACTCTCTTTTTGCAGTTATCTGTAGTATATGTTCAAATTAAATCTTTTATTGTTACAACCAATTAGCTCTGATTATTTAAGACATTCTGTCTTCTCTTTCCCATATTTCTCCCAGCTAGAGAATCCAGGAAGGTTTTTCAAAAAAACTCTTGTGTCAGTTGGAAGTATGGAGGAGAGAGAGATAATTTGTGCCTTTCACCCAGGAAACTCATTTGTTTTTTTTTTCAACCCTTTCCCTACAGATTGGAGTTATGAGTGACACTTTTCCAAATGCTTACCAACTTCTTCCAGTCAATACCAGCCTCAACCCCATCATCAAGACACACTTTAAGCAATGTGAATAGAAGCTGTGTACCAGTTCCTAAAATCCCTGGTCTCCATGTCTTTGGACACCAATTTCCCTAGTGCGTGGTAGGGGATTATGCCCCTTATATTTTTTATGGTGCTGAAGTATTCACTTTTTCATTTTAAAATTCATTTTTGTTCATATAATTTATTTTTGAGGATGAGTTGTTGGTTTTGTTTTTTGTGTGTCATTTAGCTCTACCCTACCATCATACCTAGAGGTATTTATAAATTGAATATTTTAAAGGCTTACTTTGATAGATGATGAATGGAAGGATGCACAGACATATGGATGGAAGGAGGAAGGAGCATAGATTGGAAGAGGAAAAGAGAAGATCAGGAACACTATTTAGAAGGCTGCTCTGATCATTCTGATGAAAGATGGTGAGAAATTTACTTTACTAGTGGTAAGGTAGGTGGAGAGAAGTAGATACATTGGGGAATATAATTTGAGATAAAACTGACCATATTGTAGACTGGATATAGAAATAAGAGAAGTGTCAAGGATAAAGTGAATCACCAAGTTTTGGACATGAGTACCTGGATTGATGGACTTGTGGTATTCAGAAATAAGAGATGCAGGGAAGAGAGGTAGGTGTGGGTAGAATAAGAGAACAACTACAAGTTGATATCCAAGTGGAGCTAAGAATAAACATCTCAAGTGTAAGATAATTTTTGGAATCAGATGAGAGACAAATGCTATTTAGTCAGTGAAGTAAGTCGGTGGTCACATGGGATAGTATGTTCTCATATCTAGGGCCATATTTTAAGAAACATTAAATGAGAGGTTTGGCGATGACCCTGTTTGTTCCTCTCCTGCTGGTCTCTAACTTTGAAACTAGTTCCAGAGAGGGTGGGCCAGAGGGGTGTGGCAATGATTTGAAGGCATTATTCTCTCACTGCTTGCGCAATATTAAGATTCTGACATAGGACTTGGTTGCCAGGTTACTACTGCTCAAAAACTGGAGGCAGGAGCTTTTACTCTCGCATACAAGCAGCATCTGCCAATTGCCAGATGTTGCCGGCGGAATTCAAAACCCTGTAAAGCTTGGAGTGAGTCTGAGAAGAGTTGCGGATGCTCAAAAGAGGTGAGATTAGACGTTCCCTCGCAACTTTTCCTAGTAAACTAGTGTGATTCGGAAATGTCCTTGGATGAAGAAAAAGATGAAGGGCCCTCAAATCAATCAGCAGGGCCCAGAAAAATTCGAGAGGAGTTAGTTTATGTAACCCCGACATCTTTAAACAATATAGCTAGACAAGTAAATGATCTAAATAAATATACTGAATACATATTTGGGGAACTAACCAAAGAGGTTGATAGGCTCTGTTTCAAACTTAAGACTTTACAACAGAGTGTAATCCAGTTAACTGATGGCATTACCCAAGATGATCCAAATAAACGAGTGTCCTTGCAAGTTAGAAAATCAAAGAGGATGTTTCAAAATACAGCTTTTCAATCACAGCAAGTATACTCTTCCAAATCTGTTAAAAGTTGTGGAAAACATGATTCCTGTGTACAGACATCATCTCTTACTATGCCTGCTCGTCACTGCCAAGATGGTAGAGAAAGTTTAAAGATTTATCCTGTTTCATATTCTGAGGGTGAAGAACAAAAGGGAGGGAAGGTCAAGCTAAAGAAGAAGCACCTAGATTATCCATATGAGCCAAAACGTGTGCCTCAAGGTCAACCGATAGAAGATAATATTACAGTGGGCCATATCACAGATGCCTGTGGTGAGACCTCTCATTCATATGTAGATCAATCAGCCAAAAATTCATTTTGCTCTTTCCCATTTAGTGAAATCAGTAAGCTTCTAACAAGAACTGTAGGAAAGGTGTTATCCAGACCTCTACAACAGCCAATGCATGGAGCTGGTGATGTGAAAAATTCACATACCTATGTCAATTATGGAACTGGAATGGGAGAAGACTTGAAACCCCTACCTCGAACTCGTCTTAAAACAGAGGTGTTTGTGAGTCCCACAGCACCTAATTCACCACCTCCACTACCACATGATTGGTTAGCTGTATTAAGAGCTTCAAAGAGGACAAGTCTTTCCTCAGTAATGCATTCCCTGACTCAACTTACACAAACTGTTTTCAGTGATCCAGCAGCATCACCACCTCCTGATTGCCTGAAGACCACTCTTGATACAGCTCTTCTAATTACACCACCTGAAACAGATTTCTCTCCTCCAACACCTGAACCTCTCCAATATTATGAACTGATACCGGATGATTTAGTCCCACAAAGGGAAGATCAGGAAATGCCTCCACCTTTATCTCCTCCAGTAACTTCACGTAGAATTAAATCGAGGGCTGCAGTTACAGATCTAAATGACTCTGCATCAGATGTGCAATCACCAAGATCTTCAGTTCCATCAAGATTAATATCTTCACTTCCACCACCACCAAGATATATGGTTTCACCAGCATCAAGATCTTCAATTGCACCATTACCAAGATCTTCAACTCCACAAACACTACACAGTTCAATTCCACTATCATCAGTATCTTCATATCCACAAAGATCAGTATCTTTGATTCCATTATCAAAACCTTCAGTTGCCCAGTTACCAAGACGTTCAGTTGCCCAACCTTCAGGATGTTTAGATACACAGTCATCAAGATCTTCAGTTGCACAACCAACAGGAAATTTGACTACACCACACCCAAGATCATCAAGTTTGAAGTCAACAAAATTGTCCACTCTACAATCACTCTTTTCCTCTGTACATTCACCATCTTCCATATCAAGCCCTTGGGCTCTATCAGTGTCTCAATCTTCATCAACTCCAATTTGTCGTGGCTTTAAGCAATCTCCATCAGCTCTACCAATGATCAATAAAGCAAGGATGGCCTTGATGGAAGCAATAAGAAAAGGTGTTCTGCTACGCACAACTAAAGAGCAATGCATACCCAAAGTCAAAATGGAGATTCCTAAAAATGAAGCAAGTCACATCCTGATCCGTCGTAAAGCTATGGGATATAGTTCTGGTATATCAGACAGTGAGACTGATTGGATGTAGGAAGAGTAAAAAAATAAATGCAACTAAAGTAAAAGTAAACGTCTATTGGCTTATTCTGTTTAAGCCATTTCTAATGTTTTACCTTTTAGATTAAACACTATTTCTATTTCTCCCAAGAAAACTGTCAGCATATACTCCAGCATAAATATTTTACAGTTTTCTTAATTTGCTCAGGCAAAGTAAAACTACTGAGTATTAAACATAGATAGTCTTTATTTTGGGCCTTCCTTGATGGCTCAGCTGTTGGGGTCCTTTAATGGACTGGAACCTGGTGGTCCTGAGTCGACGATGAGAAAGTGAACGAAGGAAAGAGGCTAATATTCCCTGGGTTACTCAGCCAGCATTCACATACCAGGGAATCAGCCAGAAATAGAGAGAGAGAGAGAGAGAGAGAGAGAGAGAGAGAGAGAGAGAGAAGGACATGGGGACCCAAGTCTCTGGTGGAGCAAGGGTGCTTTATTGAATACTGTAAGAGTATATATACCGTAAAATGAGGTAGCTTCTTCAGATAAAGATCAAGAGACCAGACTTTACAAGTTACCAAGGAAGCAAGGAGCAATAGAGTCCATAAGGCCACAAAGTGATCCATATCAAAAGAGGGTCGTAAATAATCCCTTTCACCAAATGGAAAAGCTAATGAAGGAAATCCTATGCAAGCATCCCATCTCTTTGATTTCCATCCTAGGAGTGGCTTGCCTGCTCCTCTTGCCCCTGACAGGGACTAATAAGGAACAGAGGGCTCAAGAGAGATAGGAAACAGCACACAGGAATCCTACTGTTACACATTCCCTGACAATTCCCCCTATTTTATTATATATGTAAAAAAGGTCCTGACCAATTGAGTTTGTTTAGTTTTAACAATTTTTGCAGAAAGGCAATGGCAAACAACAAATATAATTGCCAAGACGATCGCCAGAGTTACAGTTCCAGACCCAATGCTGTGAGTAAGGCTTTGAAACCATCTACGTGGGTCTAGCCCAGATAATTGATCAGCTAGTTCAGCTAAAATATCCAGATTAGTGGATGAGGGCAGACTTTTAGAGAAGGTATCAAAGATCTCTTTTTGCAATAATTGTGCATTCAGAGAGGCATTATCATGTATATTTTGTAAATGAAATTTGATTTGCTCCCAGTCATAGGCACTATGATTGAATTGAACTGGAGTAACACAAAATTGAGTAGAATTCCAATCACATTTTAGTATCACTTGTTTTTGCAAATCTATTAATTGATCTCAAACCCATCTGATGGCTGCTTTTAGTTCCTGTATTTCATCTTGAATATCCTCATCTATCTGAGCCTGAGTGGCCCACATAGTATGAGCATCTTTAGTCCAATTTTGGATAAAATTATGTGTTTGAATTGAGGTTTGTAAAGCAATGCCAGCAACAGCAGCAGTAGTGCAAATAGCTATTAATCCCCAAATGCCAAGAATCAGCCATCCAATGAATGGTTTAGATCGTCGGAGTAATTTAGTAAGTAACCGAGAAGCAAGCCCAGCCATGGGACCTTCTTCCCAGGGCCACTGGAGATTTACTGGTAACCACAAATTATGTCAATATTGAAGAATCAAAAGGGATTCATTTCTTAAGGAAACAGAAGAGTTAAGACAGGCATACAATTTGCAATTTATACAAGTTACAGAATGTAAAGTCTTATTAAACTGTAAGTTTCCTATAGCTAAAACAAAAGGAAGGGGGAATACAAGCTTGTATGAAATGTGATTGATTATAGAGAAAGAAATAATTACTATGACTATGACTGGTTCCTGTGAAATGTCCGGTCCAAGTTCAGAGTTTTTCAGTGCTTGAACTGATCACAATTTTATGGGGGTCGTAGCCAATTAGAGCTTTAGTCTTATTTCTTCCATTGATAATGATTAAAGCAAATAAATCAAGGTAGGGTGTAAGTGACTTTATTCCCCTAAAATGGATATAGATGCATTCTATTTGGTATTCTTGTTGGGCAAGAAGTCCCTTGGAGAATGGAGAGAGGGGAGTTCAAATAGTTCTAAAGGTAAATCTAGTCTCATGTGAGTAAGAAATTGTTTTTGTAATTTATTTTGTACCAAATAGAGTTTCTCTCATGCCTCTTGAGAAAGTGCTCAGTGGCTATTTAATTCAGGATCTCCTTTCAAAGTATTAAATAGATTAGTCAGTTGATAATTCAGTTCAGTTCAGTTCAGTTGCTCAGTCATATCTGACTCTTTGTGACCCTACAAATCACAGCATGCCAGGCCTCCCTGTCCATCACAAACTCCCGGAGTTTACTCAAACTCATGTCCATCGAGTCAGTGATGCCATCCGGCCACTTTATCCTCTGTCATCCCCTTCTCCTCCTGACCCCAATCCCTCCAAGCATCAGGGTCTTTTCCAATGAGTCAACTCTTCGCATGAGGTGGCCAAAGTATTGGAGTTTCACCTTCAGCATCAGTCCTTCCAATGAACACCCAGGTCTTATCTGCTTTAGGATGGACTGGTTGGATAACCCTGCAGTCCAAGGGACTCTCAACAGTCTTCTCCAACACCACGGTTCAAAAGCATCAATTCTTCGGCACTCAGCTTTCTTCACAGTCCAACTCTCACATCCATACATGACCACTGGAAAAACCATAGTCTTGACTAGATGGACCTTTGTAGGCAAAGTAATGTCTCTGCTTTTAAATATGCTATCTAGGTTGGTCATAACTTTCCTTCCAAGGAGTAAGCGTCTTTTAATTTCATGGCTCCAATCACCATCTGCAGTGATTTTGGAGCCCAGGAAAATAAAGTCAGCCATTGTTTCCCCATCTATTTCTCATGAAGTGATGGGACCAGATGCCATGATCTTAGTTTTCTGAATGTTGATCATTAAGCCAACTTTTCACTCTCCTCTTTTACTTTCATCAAGAGGCTTTTTAGTCCCTCTTCACTTTCTGCCATAAGGATGGTGTCATCTGCATATCTGAGGTTATTGATATTTCTCCAAGAAATCTTGATTCCAGCTTGTGCTTCATGCAGTCAAGCATTTCTCATGGTATACTCTGCATATAAGTTAAATAAGCAAGGTGACAATATACAGTCTTGATGTACTCCTTTCCCGATTTGGAACTAGTCTGTTGTTCCATGTCCAGTTCTAATTGTTGCTTCTTGACCTGCATACAGATTTCTCAGGAGGCAGGTCAGGTGGTCTGGTGTTCCCATTGCTTTAAAATTTTTCCACAGTTTGTTGTGATCCACACAGTCAAAGGCATTGGCATAGACAAAACAGCAGAATTATATATTTTTCTGGAACTCTCTCTTTTTTTTTCAATGATCCAATGGATGTTGGCAAATTGATCTCTTGTTCCTCTGCCTTTTCTAAATCCAGCTTGACTATCTGGAAGTTCATGGTTCACGTATTCTTGAACCTTTGCTTGGAGAGTTTTGAGCATTGCTTTACTATCATGTGAGATGAGTGCAATTGTGGTGTAGTTGGAGCATTCTTTGGCATTGCCTTTCTTTGGGATTGGAATGAAAACTGACCTTTTCCAGTCCTGTGGCCACTGCTGAGTTTTCCAAATTTGCTGGCATATTTTGTTCAGCACTTCCACAGCATCATCTTTCAGGATTTGAAATAGATCAACTGGAATTCCATCACCTCCACTAGCTTTGTTCATAGTGATGCTTTCTAAGGCCCACTTGACTTCACATTCCAGGATAATTAGCAATGCCCAAAGAGGGTCTAATCCAATTTATATCACCTAAGAGTTTCTGAAAATCATTTAAGATTGATCATTTATCAGTATGAATCTGAGTTAGTTGGGGAGTAATACATTATCTATTAACAACAAATCCTAAGTAATGATAAGGAGTAGAGGTTTGAATTTTTTCAGGGGCAATGATTAATCCAGAGTTTTTTAAGCATTGTTGAGCTATATCAAACATATGTTGAGTTTCTAAAACGGATGGAGCTGAAAACCATATATCATCCATATAATGGATAACAAAAAAGTCAGGAAACTGTTTTCTCACAAGCTCAAGGGCTTTAGCTACGTAGTACTGACACATGGTGGGAGAATTCATCATCCTTGAGGCAGTGCAGTCTTTTGGTATCGATATGATTATGATAAGGGAGAGTTAAAGTGAATCTCTCTGTGTCTAAAGGGTGTAGAGGTATATTTAAAAAGCAATCTTGTAAATCAATAATAATAATGTGCCAATTTTGAGGAATAGTGGTAGGTGATGGGATTCCTGGTTGTAATGCACCCATAGGTTTCATAGAAGCATTAACTTTTCTAAGGTCAGTTAAGAGACACAATTTGTTAGATTTCTTTTTTTATAACAAAAAAAGGAAAATTCCAAGGGGAGCAAGATTCCTTGATATGTGTATCTATACAATTCTAATGGTGTATCTATAAGTTCTTTAGCAACCTGTAGTTTCTCTTTCATAAGGGGCCACTACTCTTTCCAATCAGGCTCATCATTCTTCCATGTCATTTTAATAATTGTGGTTGTGGAGTTGTGGTGGTGGTGGAGTCGCTCAGTCGTGTCTGACTCTTTGACACCCCATGGACTATAACCCACCAGGCTCCTCTGTCCATGGGATTTTCCAGGCAAGAGTACTTGAGTGGGCTGCCATTTCCTTCTCCAAGGGATCTTCCCGACCCAGGGA